GACGGCTCATCCCTGCTGCTGGGTATGCCGCCAACCAAGATAAAGGGGAGAAAGAGGACGGCACCAACAGTGAGGGATGGGTGTGGGCCCCCCTCTCCCAAGAAGACATGAGGTAGTTCCCACATCATTGGTACTCTCTCATGTCACCACTCCCAGGACCAGGGAGCCCTCCCCTGGCCCCTTGGGCAGTCTGGATCCCCAAGACCCTCTAACATTCTCTGCCCAGAAGTTGGGGGCAGTGGTGACAACTGGGCTGAAGGGAGGAGGTGGTGACACTGAGAGCAGCTGCCCACCACCAGCGGGGAGAGAGGCTGCTGTGTCTGTGTAGGGATGCGTTGTGTCTCCGCATGCACTTGTGTTCGTGTATTGGTTTGGGGTGTGTACTCATGTGCATGCGAGTGAGTAGCCCTTTGGCCCCATGAGACAAGTGGGCCTGGGTCCAGGTGGTGGCGGCAGTCATGCTGGCAGGAATGCGGCTGGCTGTTGGGGTGAGCTAACAGGAGAGGCTGCCCCCACCCTTCACCTCCACCCAGATGTGGGGCACTTCAGCCTTAGCCAAGACCCAACCAGGGAGGGCTGGCAGGGGGGATGGGGGAGGGATGGGGGCCAGGCTGTCCTGGAACCTTGGGTGGGAAGACAGGAGGGTGGCCTGGCCCAGCCCGCCACTGAGGTCGCCTGTCCACCCACAGCTGACACTCTGCAGACCCACTCAGGCCTCTTTCTGGAGGAGCTGGAGATGTTGGTGCCCTCAACGCCCACTTCTACCAGCGGAGCCTTCTGGAAGGGCAGTGAGCTAGGCAGTGATCTGCCAGCCCAGCCAGCTGCCCCCAGCACCACCAGTGAGGTGGTTAAGAGTAAGTCAGCCAGCCACCCAGCCTGGGCAGGGAATACTTATTCCACCTTCAAAGCCCAGCTGAAACACCCCTGCCCCAAGCGTTTGCTCTGGAATGAGTGCGCCCTAGCACCCAACTCCAGACTCAGCAGGGTTGGCAGAAAAGAGGGAGGGAAGAGCATTAGGGGCCAGACGGGTGGGCATGGGGTGGGAGGCCACCCCTGACTCACTGCCCACCGTGGCCGTACAGTCCTGGAGCGCTGGTGGGGGACCAAGCGGATTGACTACTCGCTGTACTGCCCTGAGGCGCTCACCGCCTTCCCCACCGTCTCGCTGCCCCACCTCTTCCACGCCAGCTACTGGGAGTCTGCGGATGTGGTGGCCTTCATCCTGCGCCAGGTGGGCCCAGGGATGCGGGGTGGGAGAGGGAACCGGACAATGATAGGGAGCCGTGGGCTGGGGGAGGGGCAGCCCCAGGCACCCTTCCCCCCTTCACGTGGCCTTGCTGGTCTGATTCTTCGCAGGTGATGGAGAAGGAGCAGCCGCAGCTGGCCGAGTGCGAGGAGCCGTCCATCTACAGCCCGGCCTTCCCCAGGGAGAAGTGGCAGCGCAAACGCACCCAGGTCAAGATCCGGGTACGTGCCCTGCCCCTCGAGCCCTCAAGAGCGAGGCCCTGCCTACTCTCCCCAGGATCCCCGCCCCTCAAGACCTGCCGGGGTCCAATCCCGCCCGCTGACCCTGGGTCCTGGGTCCTGGCCCCACCTCCTCATGCCTCGGCCCCGCCCCTGGGTACCAACTGGTCTCCTCCCTTAACCATCCCGCCACCTCCTCATCCTCTGCACCCCAACCTGTCATGCCTCCGGCCCCTTGGAACCGCCCTCCACACAGAGGCCCTCATGACCTCAGATCGGGGTCAGCAAAAGCGCCCATCCCTCGGGCCTCGCCCCTCTCTCGCCGCGACCCCGCCTCCTCCAGGCCAAGCACCCCAGTCTGAGCGCGGGTCCCCCTCACCAGCACGTCCCGCATCCCTGTCACCTCTTTGCTGCGGGCTCACGCCGTCTCCTCCCACCAGAACGTCACTTCCAACCACCGGGCGAGCGACACGGTGGTGTGCGAGGGCCGCCCCCAGGTGCTGAACGGGCGCTTCATGTACGGGCCCTTGGACGTGGTCACGCTCACCGGAGAGAAGGTAAGGACACAGAGGCCTCAGTCCCGGGTAGACCGGCCGCCCTCGGGCCGAACTCGCCCCAAGCGGGAGGTCCGGGTGCTGCCTCCTGTCCCACGGATAGCTCCCAGTCACACTAGGTTGAGCCCCCAACCCCGTCCTCCCCCAACAACAGGCCCGCCTCGGCCCTCCTCCGCTCAGCGTCAGGGGGACCCTCTCGCCCCCTCTGCCTGCTAGGTGGACATCTACATCATGACGCAGCCGCTGTCAGGCAAGTGGATTCACTTTGGTACCGAGGTCACCAACAGCTCGGGCCGCCTCACCTTCCCGGTGCCCATGGAGCGTGCGCTGGGTATCGGCGTTTACCCGGTGCGCATGGTGGTCAGGTGAGCGCGGGGTGGGCCGGGCCTCTGCGGGGTGGGGCTCCTCTGGGCCCCGCCCCTATGTCGCTCAAGCAGCCCTTGGGCCGTAGGGGCGACCACACGTACGCTGAGTGCTGCCTGACGGTCGTGGCCCGCAGCACGGAGGCCGTGGTGTTCAGCATCGACGGCTCCTTCACCGCCAGCGTCTCCATCATGGGCAGCGACCCCAAGGTGCGCGCCGGCGCCGTGGACGTGGTCAGGTAGGAGCGGCCGCCCGGCTTGCCGTGGTGACTGGTCTCCACCCCTGGCGCGTGGAGCTGACCGCCGCCCCACCCTGCAGGCACTGGCAGGACGCGGGCTACCTGATCGTGTACGTAACGGGCCGGCCCGACATGCAGAAGCACCGCGTGGTGGCCTGGCTGTCACAGCACAACTTCCCCCACGGCGTAGTCTCCTTCTGCGATGGCCTCACCCACGACCCGCTGCGCCAGAAGGCGGTGTTTCTGCAGAGCCTGGTGCAGGAGGTGCGGCGACTGGGGAGGGTCCCTTCCCCGCCGTCGCCCCGGGAGGAGGCCCATCTGGTCTCACCCCCATCGGCCCCCGAACCTAACAGACCGCCAAGGCCCTCGTGGTCCCAGGGGCCCCTTGTCCTTGGGGCCAACTAGAGAGATACGGCCGGTCCCGACCCCACCCGGACCTGGTGAAGTAGACCATATGGCCTCGACCCGAAACATTCTGAACCGGATGCCCACCAGACCCCACCCCCTGCCTCACGACTCCGCCCCCCGGGGCTGCTGATTGGCCTCTCTGGTCACAGGTGGAACTGAACATCGTGGCCGGCTACGGGTCCCCCAAAGATGTGGCCGTATATGCGGCGCTGGGCCTACCCCCGGGCCAGACCTACATCGTGGGCCGCGCCGTGCGGAAGCTCCAGGCGCAGTGCCAGGTGAGGACCAAGTGAAGGTGGGGACTGCGAGCCAGCTGGGGAGTGGGAGCCTGGGTCTGGGCCGGAAGGACCACCCGTGTGTTAGGAAGCACCTAAGGCAGGCGGCTGTGAGAAGGATGGCTGGCATCAGGGAACCTGGGCTCCTCCTAGGATGGGGGTCACAAGCAGCTTGGAGGCGCTGGGCAGGCCAGGATTGATACTATGCTCAAGACCTTGAGTACTGGTTCCACTTTGGCACGGTCCTGGGCATAGGCCTTGACCTTTCTGAGCCTCAATTTCTCGTCTGCAAAATGGAAATGATAAGATGGACCAGACCTCAACAGCTATCATGAAGAGCACGTGATTTACTGCATATCAGCGTGCACGGGGCTGGGCGCAAAGCAAGTGCTTGCTAAACGTTAGTTGCTGTTGTTTTCCTCCAAAATCCCATTCTACAGATGAGGAAACTCAAGATGAGACCCAGAGAGAGGCAGAGCCAGGAATAAAGGTGCCCTGGCTCAGCCTGGGGTTGGTCAGGCTGTGCCAGGCCTATTATGCAGCCAGCACTGCCCAGGACCCTGGGGAGGACAGGTGAGGGCAGCGTGTGGGCCTGAGACCAGCCATCCCCTCATCCCTGCCCACCTCTGCCCGCAGTTCCTGTCAGATGGCTATGTGGCCCACTTGGGCCAACTGGAGGCCAGCTCCCACCCTCATGCCCCTGTGGGACCCTCGAGGGCCGCCCTGGCCAAGAGCAGCTATGGCGGGGCTGCCCCTGTGGACTTCCTCCGAAAGCAGAGCCAGCTGCTTCGCTCGAGGGGCCCCAGCCAGGCAGAGCGGGAGGGCCCAGGGACGCCGCCCACCACCCTGGCGCGAGGCAAGGCCCGAAGCATCAGCCTCAAGCTAGACGGCGAAGAGTGAGGCCCAAACTGTGGCTGGACTTGGGTTATTTACTCACACACTTGAGAGGCCCACGTGGCCGCATGTGGAAGGCTGGGCCCCCAGCCCCACATCCTGCATCTCTGTTTGCCCCTCGGTGTTAGTTCCCTTTCATGTTGGGGGACCCAGCCCTGGGGGTGGGAGGAGGGAGCAGCAAGGGCCCAGAGGCTTTTCCAGTGTGTGTAAATCCATGAAAATAAACACCACCTGCATCCCACCTGATCGCCCGCCTGCTTGGCATCACAGGGCAGCCCAGCCCCCAGTTTCCAGTTCAAGAGAGATGCTGAAGGGCAAAGAGGAGTCAGGATGTGCCCAGGGTCACGCAGCAGGTCAGAGGACAGGGCCAGGATTGGGGCCTGGAGAGCCAGCCTACCCCCGCCCTCTGCTCACCACCCGGGCTGGCCTTTCAGTTCCCAGGGGCCACACTTGGCTTCTCACTGGAACCTCTGCCTGCATTAGCTGAGGCCATGGGATCGGAGGGGAGCCCGCCTCACCCGGACACTAGGCCCCCTGGCTTGCACTTGCTTCGTCTCCCCCGTTAAGACTGAAAGCTCCCAGGCAGCTTAGCCCTGGCCAGCAAGAAACACTTCCTTTGTGACAGAGACCACCCTCACTTCTCTGGCAGGGACACTGAGGCCCAAAAAGGTCTGAGTTGGTGAATGGGGAGCTGGGATTAGAACCCCAATTCTTTGCCTCCCCAAACCACCCAAGGACCAGGAAATGAGGGGTGATGACCCCAGCTCTCCCAATGGATCAGCTCAGCAGGCCCAGAGAGAGAGAGAGAGATAAATAAGGCCTTTATATACAGAGAAGCATGATACGGCGGGGGCGGGGGGGCTGCTAGCAGCAGCAGTGAGCTGGGCAGGGTGGCTGGGCCAGCAGGGCCCTGTCAGTGGGAGAAGATGCCCCGGAAGCGGGCCCTGTCTTCCTCGTCCTTCTGCCGGATTCTTGCCTCGAGGGCCCGCAGCTCACGGCTCACGATGGGCGCCAGGGCGGGGTCCAGCTCCAACACCTTGGCAAAGTCAGCCTGGGCCTCCTGGGCATTCCACACTGCCGCGTGCGCCTTGCCCCGCTTGAAGTAGGCCTTGACGTTGTCTGCAGGGGGTGCCAGTGGGCAGCAGGCACACAGGGCACGAAGGGGGGACCAGCCAGCTACTTAGCTTGACTTCTGGCACCAGGGGCCCATCATGGGACAGAGCCCATGCGGAGGCCAACCCCACCCCGAACCCCCTTTCATATCTCACTGGCGCAACAGGGCCCATGGTCCTGCCTGGGTGGGCGATATTTGGTCGGGTTCCCACGGGACTTCAGAATGGGGGTGATATTAAAGGCTCAGTTTCGTGCCCCGGTACCCAGGGGTTACGGAGGAGGCTGCTCTACTGCCCACCCGCTGGCCCACCCTGGCGGCCCAGCGCGCGGTGCTCACCATCATACTTGTTGAGGATGGAGGAGCAGTGGTCCAGCACCTCGTAATACTCCTGGGCCGCCAGCTTGCACTGACAGTAGTTGAGCAGCAGTGGTGTGATCTGCAGATCCAGCTGGATCCAGTCAGGGGACCCAGGCTGTTCCTGGGGGCGTGGGGGGAGGGAGAGGGCAAAAGGTGCTGAAACCTGGGCCCCCGGCCCCACCTCAGCCCCTCCGCTCACCCACTGCAGCCTCCAGGCGGCACCTTCATCTGAAGGTTCTTGAGGCAGGCGATGGCGTCGTAGTACTTGGCGGCAGCCTCCTTCACACGGCCCTCGCGGTACAACCGGTTGCCCTCCTGGTGTATGACCGGCACTGCCTTTGCCTTCTCCTCATCCGTCATCGCCCACGGGTCCTGCTGGTACGTGCCAGGGTTCTCCACCTGCCGGGGTGTAGGCCAAGTCAGGGCCGAGGGCCAGCCTCTGGGCTAGCCGGGCCTGGGACATTGGACACCGGAAACAGAATCACTTGTTCATTCTCTGACCATTCAACAAACTGTTTATGTAGCACCTCCTACAGGCCCAGCACTGTGCCGGGTTCTAGAAATAGAGCACCGAACAAGATGGTGAAAATCTCTGCCCTTGCAGTGACCTGAAGGAGGGGGAGGACACTGCCAGGGGGTCCACAAAGGTGTCCTTGTACCTGCCCCACCCCAAGCCCAACCAACAGTCAGTGGGCCCACCAACTCTGGGCAGGCAGGTGGGACCAGCACCCGCTCTGAAGCTGGGCAGTGGGAGTTTGGCGAGGTGCCTGGGGCTTGGTGGCCCCTCACCTTAAGCATCTCGATGTCGAAGATGAGAGGCTGGGGGTTCTGCTGCAGGGCGTCCAGATCGGCGTGGCCCAGGGAATTGTGCTCGTGCATCTGGGCGATGCCGCAGCAGTGCCGCTGGCCCTCCAGGGGGTCTTTGCCAGCTGCAATGTTGCGTAGACTCTTGGCCACCAGTGGATACAGGACCACATGCTGCCGGAGGGTGAGTGGGCACCAATGGGCTGGCTGGTCACCAGCCCAAGAGGCCCAGCCCCCTGCCCCCATCACCATCTGAGAAAGGACACTAAGGCCCAGAGAGGGGCAGGAACTGGTTCAGCAGAAACACAGGAGGGCGTTTCCCTCGGGACTCCTCCAGCCTCCCAGCCCTCCAGCCCGGTGCGGGCCTCAGCTCCTGCCACACTTTCTGGCCACCAACCCAAGCCAAGCGCCTACCCCGCCAGCCTCCACACAAACACACACTCCCGCTGTCAACCGGTCTCCCCTGTCCTTACGAGCCCAGTGGAATTCTTACCTCCGCCCCTCCTCCTTCTCCCAGGCTTGCAGCCCACAAGCTGGGGTCCCTCCACATTCTGTTCCCAGCGCCTCTTCTGTGCTGCCCCATCCCCACCCCTTTCAGGGCCTATCTCCGAGGTGGGTTTAGGGCAGCAACCTCAAAACCCTCAGGGGAGACCCTCAGGCATAGGGGACCTAGCTTTTTTTTTTTTTTGGCCACAAGGCTTGTGGGATTTTAGTTCCCCGACCAGGGATTGAACCCGGGGCCACGGCAGTGAAAGCGCTGAGTCCTAACCTCTGGAGCGCCAGGGAATTCCTGGGGACCTAGCTTTTGACCTTTCACTAGGAACATCTGCTGGGATGGTGGGAGCCAGACCACCCTCACCCCAGTCTAACCAGCTCCTCTCACTGACCCTGCACAGGGCAGACTGCTCGGCTAACATTCATCCAGCCAGCAGATGTGTTCTGAGTCTTGGCTCTGGGCTGGCCCACACTGCGCATTTTGAAGGTAAACAGGCCCAATCCCTGCCCTGAAGTAGCTTAGATGCAGACAGAGGACCAGATCCTGGCCATGCAGAGCATGAGGGGCTGGAGAACCCAGAGATGGGGTTCAAGTCAACCACCAGTAGTCAGGGAAGGCTTCCTGGGGGTGGTGACCCAGGAATTCAGTTTGAAGTGGGAGGGAGGATCTTGGCCAAGAAAGGGATGGAAACACAGGGAGGTGAGTGGGAGGGAGACCCTGCAGGGCCATGTGAGCATCTATGGCTTACACTTTAGCTCGACAGTGACCAGGAGCCAGAGGGGTTTGAAGTAAGGAGTTGTGTGGGTCATTACATTTGAGAGCCAGTCCCTGGCTGCAGTCCGGCTAAGGGAGAGGAAAAGGTGGAATAGGGGCCAGGACGCCAGTGTCCTGGTGGTGTGGTGCCCTGGAGGGAGTCGGTGGTGGCCTAGCCATTGGGTGCGGGCAGACAGATGCAGGCAGGCACAGGGCATCGGGTACCTTGACGTCGCAGCAGAACTGAGAGATCTCGCCCTCCCGCATGGTGCGCACAATGGTCTCCCACACGGGCAGCTTGAACTTCTTGCCGATGATGAGCTCCATGGGCTTGCCGCACACCCGGCTGTCGTCCAGCACGGTGCCCTCATCGTCACTGCGCAGAGTCCGGTAGTGGAACGTGGCCTGCGGGCCGCAAATGGGATCAGACAAGGGCACAGCCTTCCCCCATCCCCCAAGGACAAGCCCAGCTCGCAGCCTGCAGATGGCACAAGGGACAGGGCTCTCCCGGGGGTCACCGCCCAACCTTACACCTGGCTTTACCATACCACCCAGGTGAGGATACTGTCACCGAGAGGGAAGGGATCCACATCACATGGCTAGTGGGTGGACAGGCTGGGACAGGAGCCCAAGTGGTCTGGCACTAATCATTCTTTCAATAAATATTTACTGAGCACCTATTACATGCCTGAGCTCTGTGCTAGGCCCAGCAGTGAACAAAACAGACAAAAGTCCCTGCCCCCGTGGAGCTCACATGGAACTTCTAGAGGAAAGAGATGGGCCTCAACATGTGCTGTGTGAGGTTGAGCTAAGGCTATGAATCAGAAAACAAAATGCAGCAGGGTAAGGCAGGGTGAGTTCAGGGGGCAGGAGTCTCTGCGAGGACAACATTTAAGCAGAGATCTGAGGATCTGAGGGACTTCCCTGGCGGTCCAGTAGTTAGGACTCAGTGCTTTCACTGTCGGGACCTGGGTTCGATCCCTGGTCGGGAAACTAAGATCCCACAAGCTGTGCTGTGTGGCCAAAAAATACCCCAGAGATCTGAAGGGAGAAGCAAGCCAGGCAGATGCTGGGGTAGGAAGGGGTGGGAACTTTCTAGGTCAAGAGAATAGCAGGCGCAAAAGCCCTGCAGAGGGACAGTGTGTGGGGTGCTCACAAAACGGGAAGCCAGTGTAGCAGAAGCAGAGTGAACAAGGGCGAGGAGTTGTGCATCACGGGGTCACCAGGTCAACAAGGATGGACCCCACAGAGCCTGCAGGCAGTGGTGAGGAGTTTGTTTTTTCACTCTGAGTTGAGAGCCAGTGGGTGGCTCCAAGCAGAGGAGGGACATGATCTGACGTGGGTTCTGCTGCTGCTGGGATGAGAAGAGGCTGGAGCGGAGGGAGGACAGAAGCAGGAAGGTGGTTACTGCAATAACCCAGGAGAGAGATGATGGCGGCCTGGACCAGGGTGGTAGTGGCAGAAGTGGTGAGAAGTGGTCAGACCACCGGTGTATTCTGAGGATCTTCTGTGGGAAGTGAGAGAACAGGAGGAGCCATGGAGACTGGGAGGTTTTGGGCCTGAACAACCAAAAGGCTGGAGGTGCCCTTAACTTAGATGGGAAGGCTTGGGGGGAGCAGGTGAAGTTTCAGGTGCCAACCAGACATCCAGGTGGAGATGGTGAGTAGGGAGCCGGATATCAACTTTAAAGGAGAGGGAAGGCTAGAGATAGACATCTGGGAGCGGCCCAGGCATGGAGAGTTTTTTAAAAGAGATAAGCCTGGATGAGATCATCTCAGGGAGAGTGAAGAGAGAAGAGGTCTAAACACTGAACCCTCCACAGGATATGGTTAGAGGAACCCACACTCTTTGCCACCACCCCTAGCCACTCCTCTGAGCTCTGTTTCCACATCAGTAAAATGGGGTCAACAATAGTACCTATTCCTCTTGTGAGAAGGAAAGAAAATAAACTTGTGAAGCATTTAGCACGGTGCTCATCTGAGCCCTCAATCAATGCTGGTGATTGGTTTTTTAATTTACCTGTACCTGTTCCTTCAGGGTCATTGTTCACAGATCTTCACTATTTTTACAGTGTTCTCTCCAGCTGGTGTCTGTTCCATCCAAGATCTCCCTTGCCAGGACCTTCTTCAAGGCCACCAACCCCCCAGCCCATGGGGGAATCCACCCACATCCACCTCCCTTCTCGCATCTGGGAAAGGATCCCTCTTGGTATCACTGATCACTAGGGCTGTGCAGCTCTGCCTCAAATCACTCACACTGAGAGAGGCTAGGATCTTTATCTGCTGAATCTCGGCGCAGTAGCTCTTACTTTTGGTGGCCCCAGTATGTTTTGTTTTGTTTTGTTTTTGCGGTATGTGGGCCTCTCACTGTTGTGGCCTCTCCCGTTGCGGAGCACAGGCTCCGGACGCGCAGGCTCAGCAGCCATGGCTCACGGGCCCAGCCGCTCCGCGGCATGTGGGATCTTCCCGGACCGGGGCACGAACCCGCGTCCCCTGCTTCGGCAGGTGGACTCTCAACCACTGCGCCACCAGGAAAGCCCGGCCCCAGTATGTTTTAAATGTTAAACTGTTGTAGTCATCAACAAGGTATGTCACTTCGGTTATTTTGGGGGCCAGGATCTTTACTCATTCGCTCAAGATGCGTGTCCTATGTGACTGCTCTGCTGGGCACAGGGGCTGCCCCCAGGAAGCTCCTTACTCTACAGACAAGTGGCAACAGGGAAAGGCCCTCCAGGAGGAGGGAAATGCATAAGCAGAAGCAGGTAAGCCTGGAGATGTACATTGTTTGGGGGAAGGGGCCGGAGAGGCTGGAGGTGGGGGCCTGGATGTACAAAGGAGGAAGATGGGAGGCTCTTTATTTCCCAGCCCTTATCTGTCCCGAGCAATGCCACGAAGAGCACTCGGAAGGCTGCCAAAAGGATTCTGCTCTGGCAGACCCAACCTCTGGGCCTGTTTGTTCTCTCGGTTGGTGCGTCGTCCCTGGGCCTCGATTTTCCCATCTAAGAAATGGAGCTGGTCTGTGTTTTCAGAAGACCCTTCCGTCTATAGATTTTGAGGCTTGCAAACCAGGGGCCCCTCCCAGAGCCCAGGTATCCGGTTTAGGGTCTTCTCCAGCGCTGGATCTGTGCAAGCAATAGGGTCAACCCTCCCACCTCCCGCAACCTGTTTATAATGACTGACGGCCTCCCCAACCAATGTGGCCACATGGCCAAGCTAGGGGGCGGGGGCAGACGCATCCGAATTCACCCTCTACTTAAATCCAGACCAATCAGCGTCGAGCTCGGCATGTGAGAGGTAGGGTCACCGACCACTGCTATCTGGGCATGCGCAATCTCTCGCCTACAGCCTCCTCCCGCCTCGCATGCGCACCGCGCCACGGACGGTTAAGGGAAGGGGATAAACACGAACCTTAGTTCCATCCTGAAAGTCAGGGAGCTCTCCTCGGCCCTCCTCTATCACACGCTTTTGGATCCCGTCCTCCCGGAGTCTTGCGATGATATCCGCCATCCTCCTTCCCCGCTGCTCTCTTTCGGCAACTTCCGGACTCGCTCGGCAGCTTCCGGACCTGCTTCGTCAACTTCGGCAACTTCCGAGCTGGCGCCATTTTGGCTAAGGGCAGACGCCGTAAAGGGCCTGAACGTGGAAACGGACAGTGATTGGTTCTCTGCGCTGCGGCTGAGCGCGCGGATCTGACCAGGGGCGGGGCCTGAGACTGTCTAGGGGAGGTGAGAGAGGCGGGGCCAGAGTCGGCCGGGCGGGGCGGGGGCGTCCCTAGCAATTGTGTCATTAAACTGATATAGACTGGGCCCTCCCAAGTGGCCGTGTGCCACTCTATTTTAAGTTGTAGGAATAGTACAACAGCGTTACAGAACTAGGATGGAGCGGGGGCTGGGGGCCCGTCGGTAACGCCACCCCCTAAAACTACTATTTTTGTGTATTCCTTTCTGGGTTTTTTCTTTTAGCATACCTAGCACAATAGTCGTGACTTTTGCATCCTGGATTTTTCTCTTTAAATATAAATAAATAAATAAGTAAAACTAGGAGTAAGAAAGAGAGGAAGGAGGGTTTCTGTGTTCCTGTGGGAACCGTAAACTCCCCAAGAGACTGATAGTCCCTTGTGGGGTCCTGGCTGGATGTGTCGTCACCATGGAATCCTCCGCGGTGTCTGGCACATAGTAGTTGCCCAGTGAGTATTAGGAAATATAGGAATGATAGAAGTGAGGCACTTCGGGGGTAGTACAACATTTCTCTCCGCCTCTGGAAACTAGCTGTGAAGAATAGCTGTAAGAGTTTTCTGCTCCCACTTTCGAGGTTTAGGCAACCGAATAAAGGAATGTCTTGGGACCTGTGCACTGTCTTCATTCCATCCTCATAACTGCGAAGAATTATTGTCCGTCCCCTTTGCCCCACGTGCTAAGGGCTTCAGATATTTATGCTGGTTCATTTCCCCCCCCCCCCAAAGTCCCCTGAGAGAGGTGGAACCTCTGGGGTGAAAGGGAAACATGCTTTGTTTGTTTTTAGCTTTTTTTTTTTTTTTTACCCACACAGGAAGTTTTTCAGGCGACTTCTGCCGAATTCTGAAGCAACAAGTAGTCTGTATCCTATACAGATTGCTCCAGAAAATGGAAAAAGAGGGAAAGCCAACCAACATATTTTATGAGGCTATTTTAATCTTGATTCTGAACCAGATAACTATACCATAAGGCAAGAAAAATATACACCCATTTTACTAATAAATATAAATATGAAAAATCCTAAATGAATGTTCAGCTAATTAAATCCACTAGTATATATAAAAATACCTCAGGGCTTCCCTGGTGGCGCAGTGGTTGAGAGTCCGCATGCCGATGCAGGGGACACGGGTTCGTGCCCCGGTCCGGGAAGATCCCACATGCCGCGGAGCGGCTGGGCCCGTGAGCCGTGGCCGCTGAGCCTGCGCGTCCGGAGCCTGTGCTCCGCAACGGGAGAGGCCACAACAGTGAGAGGCCCGCGTACAGCAAAAAAAAAAAAAAAAAAAATGTAAATAGAATGAGTTTTATACATGATTCCATGTTTTTAAATTGCAAACACATCCACATACGAGCCAATGCCATGTGGAGTAGGGGGCCAGACAGAATTCAAGGCAGCCGACTGAGCACACTGATGTGGGATCTGATGAAAGGGAGGAGGAAAACGGTGGAGAGAAGGACGGAAAATAAATTAACGTAACTCAAGAGGGGCCTTGCTCATAGTGATGATGTGTCATAAACTGAGAAGCAGGATTGACTCAGCTCTGTACACGAGGTCATAAAATGAAGTGGGTCGGGTGAGTGCAGGAGGATGAGCACCCCTAGAGCTAGGTGGACCTGAGTTCAAATCCCAGTTCGCACTTGAAAGCATTTGGGATTTGGGCGAAGCGCTCATTCATGTGGTCCACAAATATTTATTGAGGACCTACTTAGTGCCAAACACTGTTCTGGGCACAGTGGACACAGTGGTGAATAAGACAGTGTAAAATAAGGTAATTTCGGGTAAGCACTGTGTGATGTGAAACTGACTTTAGATTGCATAGTCAGGGACGGCTTCTCTGAGAGATGACACTGGAGCAGGGACACCGATGATGAAAAGATCCCCCTGTGAAAGAGCAAGGTTAAGTGCTTTCCAGGCATAGAAAAAAGCACGCACGTGCAAAGACCCTGAGATGGGAACGAGCTTGGCCTGTGTGGCTGAGTGAGATGAAAGAGGGGCAGAGTAGGACTTGATGCGATTGGGAGAGGTAGGCAGGGACCAGAGCTTTGTGGGCCTTAGTCAAGAGTTCACATATTATTCTAACCACAGTGGAAAACCAAGGGATGGTTTTATGCAGAGGAGTGACTTGGCAGCATACTTTAATTAAAAAAAAAAAAGTTTTATTTAAGACTAACACACAGAAGAAAAGGATCAGATGTTTTAAAAGACCACTTTGCCGTCTGCGTGGAGACAGAATTGGAGGAGAATGCAAGCCACATAAGCTCTCTGAGCCTTTTTCCACATTTGCACGGTGGCGACAATCCCCCTCCCGTGCAGGGCCGTGGTGAGTAAGGGTGGGGAAACGGTCCCCAGGAGTCTCCTCAGCACTCGAGGAGCGGGCTGGGATGCAGACGACTCCAACTCGGGCCTGAAAGGTTGGCGAGTGGCAGCCCCTGCAAGGCCCTTGTACAGACCCAGGGATTGCTTCCGAGAGGCACCCGCTGTCGCTCGCCGAGGCGGCCGCTGGGCGGCGCGGCGAGCCCAGCTCGGTCCGGACGAGAGAAGGCGCGGTCACTAGTCTGCTCGGCGCTCGGCAGCTCTGGCCTGCTGAAGGCGGGCGGGGGCGGGGCCGTTATGTAAGGGCGGGGCCTCGACCAGGGCGCCGGACTGTCGAGCAACCTAGACGACGGCACGGGGCGGGGTCTGCGCGCGGGGGTGGGGCCGGCGGGAGCGGATGGCGACGGTGCTGGGCGTCTGAGCGGGCCGGGGCCATGAGTGCCGCCCGGCCCCAGTTCAGCATCGATGACGCCTTCGAGCTGTCCCTGGAGGACGCGGGCCCTGGGCCTGAGTCCAGCGGGGTCGCCCGCTTCGGGCCGCTGCACTTCGAGCGCCGGGCCCGGTTCGAGGTGGCCGACGAGGACAAGCAGTCCCGGCTGCGCTACCAGGTGAACCGCCCGGCCCACCTCACCCCCAGCCTGGGTCTGGGCAGACCCCAGGCCGGACCCTGGAGAACCCCAACTCGGGAGAATCTGACTAGAGGCCTCAGCCGGAGCGGGAGACCGCCCCCCGGAGCCAAATCACTGCCCAGACCCTCTCAGCTCTGATTTCGGTCCCCAGCCACTACTGGAGAGCCTAGAGCCCAGACCTGGCAGCTCGTCCCTCACCCCCAGCTGGCGATCCCAACCTGGAGTCCCCACCGATCCTGGGTACTGACCCTCCCTCCCCTTAGCACGCAGGGATGGGGAACTCTTCTGTACCTGAACCAGACTTTGTCCATATTCAGAAGGACTCCCCTGAGCCCCAGGCCAGATAACCCAACGGGAACCAGCACCCCCTCTTCTGTTCTAAGTCCCCACCCCATCCTTCCCTCCAGAGCTGGAGGTCCCCACTCACATGATGAGTCCTTGCCCATGCCTTGGCTCCCACTAAACTGGAAATCCCCCTTTCCCAGAAGACCTCCACCAACTCTAGAATCCTTTTCTTGGCAACCTGAACTAGATTCCTATGCCCCAAACCTGGAAACCATTGGCCTGCCCTTCCCTGGCACCGCAAATCCAAGGCCTCCACACTGGGCCCCTGAAATACCATCCTGACAACTCCACCCTGATTCCCAAGCTTGGGAGATCTCCTGGCCCTGGGAACCCTCAACCAGCCCCTGCCGGCTCCTCCCTGCCAAAGCCCCCAGCACCCACCTCCTACCTGGGTTTCAGTTTCTGTGAATCATCAAACCCGTTCTTCGGGGAAGGCGGAGGGAGCAGCTGTCAAGCGGCCAAACAGCTGTGTGTCCAGGCAAACAGCTGTGTGCGCTCGTTTTCTTCCTCTCCACCAGAGGGGAGGGAGGAAGGGCCTGAGCCCAGTAACCCTTCTGAGCCCTGTGTTCTGGAATAGAACCTGGAGAACGATGAGGATGGAACCCAGACCTCTCCGGAGCTGGATGGGGGAGCCGGCACCAGGTCAGGGCCAGGTGGGGACCCACCCCATACTCTTAGCCCCATGCTTCTGTCTCCTGTCCCCAGGCCCCTGCTCAGTCCTCCAGCTCACCTCACTCAGCCCTCTCACGTCCTGTCCTACGAGAGACTCCTACACGGGGTCCCCTGTCCTGCACCCTACCCTAGTGCCAGCCTCACCCACCCACCCCACCAGGCTCTTTATCTTGCAGAAACCCCCAGCCTGGTCTGGCCCCTGTCTTGTCACAGGTCACTTGTCCTACAGGAATCCCCAGCTTTCCTCAACCCCCCGTCCTGCAGAAACCCCCAGCCCTTGAATTCCTCTTCATCCCGTCCCTTCTTAGTGCCCCCTATTCTGCAGGAACACTTAGTTCTAGTCTCTGCACCATCCCCCAGGATGCCATCACGACTCCTATCCCAAAGGGTCCCCTTGCTCACCTCCCCTTGCCCCCTCACCGGGCCCATTTGTCCTGCAGGGATTCTGGCCGAATATCCATCCGCAGCTCCCAGTGGTCCTTTAGCACCATCAGCAGTAGCACTCAGCGCTCCTACAATGCCTGCTGCAGGTGAGACCCTGCCCCAGTACAGGCAGCCCTGACTACTTCCCCTTGGCTCTCTGGGTGGGGGATGGTGATGGGAGGGGGTGGGCCTCCTGTCGCCTCTTTCACACCCCTCCTGCTCTGCTGCCATCCAGCTGGACTCAACACCCTTTGATCCAGAAGAACCACAGGGTAGTGCTGGCCTCCTTCCTGCTCCTCCTGCTGGGGCTGGGTGAGTGCCCCCGAGGGCCCCCTGCATACCCTGCCTACCCCTTGGTAGGGTCCACCCTCCTTTCATTTGGGCTCTGCATCGCATCCCCCTTGGCACACTGAGCCTCCCAGCACCCTGAGGACGCAGCTGGCTGCCGTGACCCCACCCCCATTTTACAGGTTAGGAAGCTGAGGCCTTGGGAGGGGCAGGTCCAGCCTCCTGGTCACAGAGTCAAGAAATCACACATAGTTGAAAATGGAACGTGGTTCCATGCTCCAAACTTTTCCTTTTTTTTTTTTTTTTTTTTTATCCTGTTTAATCCATCAGGGAACAGAGAGTAACAGCTACTATTTATTCTCTGTCTACTTCGAGCCAGGTGCAGCGCAGGCTTATTTTCCTTCCGTACAGAGGTCACACAGCAAGCGAGAGGTAGGGCCACAACCCAGAACCTATATGTAGGGGCAGTGCTCAGGGATATGCCCAGCCCAGTGGCCAAAACTGCAGAGTGCCCTGCCAGCCCAATCCACAGGGCACCTGTCACTTCCCCTCCTCAGGAGTCTGAGAGCTGATAAGGACCTCTCTCCCACCCCCAAGATACTCAAGATAGGGAAACTGAGGCCCAGAGCAGGCAGAAACCACAGCCAGCTGTTTTCTAACTCCCACGCTCCTCATTCTGTGAGGCTGAGGAGTCAGAGTCCCCAAAAGGGATCTAGGGTTGGGATCAAGGGGAGCCCTTAGGGAGGGCCCAACTGTGGCACCTGCTCTCCCTCCTCCAGGAAGGTGAGAGTCCCCTAGCTGGAAAGCTGAGCAGCATCCTTGCCTCAGCTCTGGGTGTCTGTGTGCAGGGGAGGGAGCTGCGGCTTCCCCAACACCTGCGAGTTGCACTGGCCACCTGCCTTATCTCATTTCATCCTCAACACCTGACAGGGCAAGCATTATTACTATCCCAGTTCAAAAGTAAGGACACAGACGCTGCAGAAGAGCCACAGCTGGGAAGTAGATGAGCTGGGATTTAAACCCACATCAGTGATGTTGCGAGGCCTGTGGGCCACCATAGCCCATAAAGGCCTTTTGCAGGAATTAGAAAAAGATGCCTCCTCTGAGTGGGCAGAGCCCACAGCCCTAAGCCAGGGTACAGGGAGTGAGTTTCAGCCCCCATTGTACCCTTTTTGAGGTGCTCTGTGCAGGGCACAAACCACACAACAGTCCACGGTGGCCCTTCAAGCCTCTGTGCTGTACGGTCCCCCATCTCCCCCCCGCCATCCCATCCTCTAACTGGGGACCCAGGACTCTCTCTGCATCTGAAAAAGTGATCCAGCTATGACCACCCCAGCTTCCCCAGTGCCCACTGTCCTTAGCCAAAGTCCACATCCCTCCCCAGGGCCTACAGATCCTGCCAAACTCCTCAAGCCTGGACTCTTGCCTCTCCTGTCTCGCCAAAAACTGGAAGTTCCTAGAAAGCCCTGAGTTCCCTCCAGTCGCTGGGCCTTTGCCAGGCTGTTCCCTCCATCTGGAATACTCCTCTCCCTTTCTGCCTGTGCCATGCCCATAGCAAAGCCTCTGGAGTCAGATCACCTCCACCTTCTAAATGCAGTCCTGGGCAAGTTACTTCCCCTCTCTGTGTCTCAGTTTCCTCTGCTGTGAAATGGGGATGGTAATACCTGTCTCAGTCAAGGTGGCAATTAAATAAGGCCCTGCATGTAACACACTTAGCCCAGTGCCTGGCAGCAGCTGGTAGGTGGTCACTAAAAGGTAACTGCTACTGCTGCTGCTGTCCCTGCTCAGCTTAGATGCTACTGCCTCCAAGAAGCTCTTCCTGATACCCCAGGCTCCCGAGCTGTCTGATCACCAGGGTTGTAGCTTGGAGGTTCTTGTTGCTTGCTCCACTAGGGAAGGGCCATGGGGGCAGGGACAGACATTTCCCAGGGCCTGCCAGGTGCCCTGCTCTGAAAACACAGAGCTTGGTGAACTTCCCCTGGTGGTTCTCTGCCCAGGGGACCTTCAGCTTAGGTGGGGGACACCATTCCTCAGGCCTAAGCCATGTTGGGGGTTGCGGGTGGAGGTCCCCACCCTGCCACCAGCTGCTGCCCCCTGCTCCTGCCCTCACCCTCGTGTTTCCATCTGTGTGCAGTGTTGATCCTGACCGGCGTGGGACTGGAGGTGGCCCCCTCGCCAGGTGAGCGACCCCCTCCTACCTCCGCGGGCAGCGGTCACGCCCCTCGTGTGCCCAGAGGCCCTCGGCAAGCCCTTCCACCTCCCGCAGCGCTCAGCGCCCTCCCGGCAGAAAACGGCCCCTTTTACCTCGGAGAGTGAGACTTGCCCAGGCAGTGACCCCGCAGTCCCGCCCGGAAGCCTCCCTGCCCTGACCCGGCCCCTCCTCCCCTCTCGTAGGTGTCTCCAGCGCCATCTTCTTCGTGCCCGGCTTCCTGTTGCTGGTCCCGGGAGGTGCGAGTGGGCGCGGGCAGGGGCGGGGCGGGGCGGGGGCGGGCCCTGGGCGGGCCCCCGGCGCTGACAGACCCCGCCCTGCAGTCTACCACGTGACCTTCATCTACTGCGCGGTCAAGGGCCACCGGGGCTTCCAGTTCTTCTACCTGCCCTACTTCGAGAAGTGAGCAGGCGGCGGCAGACGGCGGGATCCATCGTCGGCGCCGAGAGGCCCCGCGCGGCCTCCTCGCGTCCCTAGGGGGCGCCCCTGGGGCCCGCGCCCGCTTCGGTACCCTCATCTCAAGGGAAAAGACCCTGCGGGACCCTCGAGGCTCCAGTCCCCTCAGGAGTTTGCTCCGGAAGTTTGGGGCAGTGGGCCTCAGGCCACGACCTGGGCCTGGGAAAGTCGCCCCTTCCGTGCTCCGTGCCTTAACTTATTCTTGGGGGGCTGCTGGGTTGGTGGTGTTTTGTGCTAATAAAAGGGTAATGCTTAATTCCAGCCCACAATTGCTTTTTACTTCCCACTTGCCCTGACCAGCCCATCAGCCTGGCCACAGCCCCCTTTCAGAAAGGCTGAGAAAAGGACTGACCCTGGGGCTGAAGGGCTCTAGGACTGTCCATCTCCCCATGGTACACATGACAGTCCTGATGCTCCATGACTTGCCCAAGGTCACACAGCACGTCAGGGGCAGAGCTGGGCCTGGGGCTCTTCTACCCTGCAAGCCTGGAGAAGACTCTCCCTCCCAGTCCTTAGCAGAGTCAGTCCTGCCCCTGTCTCCACTCAGAGAGGCAGCATTGGTGCCTCCCTTGGCGGCCCTGGCCAAGGGCACTCAGATGACACAGGCCTGGGGCCTGGAGGCTGGTATCCTGGTTCCAGCCTGGCTCTGGGGCCCTGGGCTGCCACAGCCGGCTCTGAATGTGGGCCACCAGGACGCAGCAGCCCAGCCTCCTCCACCCACTGCCCTACTTCCCAGGCCCAGAGGTTGGGAGAAGTAGGGGTCAAAGGACATAGGAAGCAGGCCTGTATAACAGAAAACCTCAGTGATCAAAGACTCTTAGAACCACAGAACATTGGAAACAGACCACTGCAGAATTTTGGAAGGTCCAAGCATCTCAGGATGTCAACAACCAGGAAACAGAATCTTTGAGAACCCTGAAAGCTGAGGTCATAATAGCTACCATTTATCAGATTCTTAGAAGGCGCTTGACACAGGTTCTTTCTGGTCACCCTCCATAGAAACTGAGGCCCAGAGAGACTGGCTTGGCTGAGGGCAGAGTGAGGAACACAACCCAGGGCTTCTGTGACTCAGAGGGGGGTGGGGGTCAGCAAGCTGGTCTGGTCCCCAGCTGACCAACTGAGGGGCTGGCCGAATGAGTGTGGGCCTTGGAGACCCTGTTCATATACTTCATGTTTACAGTCTGCCACCCCCAGTGAAACGCGAGTGCCATTAGGGTGTTCGGCCTCCACTGTATCTGCAGCGGCCAGGACAGTGCCTTTAGATTTCTGTGATTTTGTTGAAAGAATGAGCACCCAGACCCCCGCTCTCGCTCCTGATCTCCTGGCCCAGCCAGACTTCCCACCCTCAGCCACCAATCAAGGCACTTTTGGGGGGTACCAATTAGATGCAGGAACTCCTAAATGAGTGATTCTCAAATTAGCTGGGGACCAGTTTTCATTTCTAATGCAACATGGACCAATAATTTTGTAAGGTAAAATGAAAACTAAAAAAGTGAAATAAAAAAACAAAGATACAGAATATAAGCCCACAGTTTGTATTATCAGATTAATCAGACATAAAATTACATTTCAATAGATAAAATCAGAACAAACATGGAAAGAAGAAAAATTATGAACACCATTCATTGAAAGTGGGCAAATTAGCAATTAACATAGAGTTGCTACTACGCTCGTAACTTTCTGTCACTTCACAATCTTAGCTAAACAGCAAGTGATCCCAAAAGTGGTGATTCTCCATATTATAAGACTATCTCAGGGGTCAGCAAGCTGTACCCCACAGGCCCAATATAGCCACCAAACTAAGAATGGTTTTCACATTTTAGTAATGGTTGGGATAAAAGTCAAAGGATAATAAGCTTTTGTGACACAAAGTTTATAAAATTCAAATTTTGATGTCAATAAGTCAAGTTTAATTAAATTATTATTTATCGAATTTCCAACACAGCCACACTCTGTATTGACTTTGGCTGCTCAGCCATACAAACTACTACAGCAGAGCAACAGAAACCATATGGTCCCCAAAGCCTAAAATCTTTACTGTCTGGCCCTTCACAGAAAAAGTTTGCCAACCCTTGGTCCATAGGAACATGTTGACAGAACACTGAATCGCAACGCTTAAAGTTTTAATGTGACCAATGTGCTTGATTTTTGCTGGTTAATTTATGTAATCCAAGTTGGATTGACAGCAACACCATCCTCAGGAAATGATGAATACCCAAATTCTAAATATGATTTATTTTTAGTTGGAAAAGGCATTAATAGTTGCACACAGATTAAGAACATTAGATTTCCTTAGTGAATTGTGACTCAATTTATCCCTGATGCTCTTTGCCCCATAGCCCATTTTGTCTGATATGTCTGTAGTTATACTAGCTTTCTTTTGGTTAATTCTCCCCTAGTAAGTCTTTTTCCAAGCCATCACTTTCAGCCCTTCAGCTGTCATTATGCTTTGAATGTGTCCTTTTTTTTTTTTTAATTTATATTTTATTTTTAGCTGCGTTTTGCTGCACGCCGGCTTTCTCTAGTTGCGGTGAGCGGTGGCTACTCTTTGTTGCGGTGCACAGGCTTCTCACTGCGGTGGCTTCTCTTGTTGCAGAGCACGGGCTCTAGGCGCGCAGGCTCAGTAGTTGTGGCCCACAGGCTCTAAAGCGCAGGCTCAGTAGTTGTGGCACACAGGCTTAGCTGCTCCGTGGCATGCGGGATCTTCCCGGACCAGGGCTCGAACCCGTGTCCCCTGCATTGGCAGGCGGATTCTTAACCACTGCGCCACCAGGGAAATCCTGAATGTGTCTCTTATATGTGCACTTAGCTGTGGGAAGAGCCTGGTATCTGCCTTTATATAAAAAAAAAAAAAAAAAAAAAAAAAGTTTTTTTTTTTGTTTGTTTGTTTTGTGTGTGTGGTACGCGGGCCTCTCACCGTTGTGGCCTCTCCCGCTGCGGAGCACAGGCTCTGGAAGCGCAGGCTCAGCGGCCATGGCTCACGGGCCCAGCCACTCCGCGGCATGTGGGATCCTCCCGGACCGGGGCATGAACCCGTGTCCCCTGCATCGGCAGGCGGACTCTCAACCACCACGCCACCAGGGAAGCCCCTATTTATTTATTTATTTGTTTGTTTGTTTATTTATTTATTGGCTGCGTTGGGTCTTCGTTGCTGTGCGCAGGCTTTTCTCTAGTTGCGGCGAGCGGGGGCTACTCTTCGTTGCAGTGCGCAGGCTTCTCATTGCAGTGGCTTCCCTTGTTGCGGAGCACAGGCTCTACACACGCAGGCTTCAGTAGTTGTGGCACGTGGGCTCAGTAGTTGTGGCTCACGGGCTCTAGAGCGCAGGCTCAGTAGTTGTGGCGTGCGGGCTTAGTTGCTCCGCGGCATGTGGGATCTTCCCGGACCAGGGCTCAAACCCATGTCCCCCGCGTTGGCAGGCGGATTCTTAACCACTGAGCCACCAGGGAAGCCCTCTTTTGTTTTGTTTTAAGGATGAGTTCTACCTTGTGTTTTAATGTTTTCTGTAGACTTTGTTTTTCTTTGCTTTTCCCTCTTCCCAGCCTTCTGCTAGCTTAATGAGGAATTCTTCACTTTCTCCCTTTTCCTCCTCTGTTGATTTGACTATCGAGAATGGAACATTCTATCTCTATTTCTGTTATATTAATGGTTACCCTTACATGATTAACAAAATCTAAAGTTAATCAATGAATCTGTCCTCCTCTAGGAAAAACAAGCATGTCTAGAGTATCCCTTCCCATCTTCCATTTTATTTTTGTCTATTACTTTTTTTAGTCCCTCCTGGTTTTTAAAATCCCCCAAATTATTTTTTATAGTTCATGCTTCTTTAGCTCTACCAATATGTTTACTGATTTCTCTCCTATTGTTTAGTACATACTCTGCTTTCAATTTCCTTCCCACTGAAGCCATCCCTTCAACAAGAGTTTGTGGGTGGGAAACCTTTCAGCCTTTGTTTGCTGAAAAAAGTTTATATTTCATCTTCATTCTTGAGTAAGATGAGCTAAGTACAGGCTTCTCAGTTGGCATTTTTTTTCCCTCTGCACGTTGAACAATTTATTCCATTTTCCTCTTGCACGTGTTGTTGTCAATGAAAAAAGTCTTTGGAGAGTCTAATTGCTAATCCTTGGTAAGTAATCTGACTTCTTTCTCGAGCTGTTTACAAGATTTTCCTTTTGTATTCTGCAGTTTCACTGGCATGCATCTAGATATACATTTACTTTTTTTAAAAACTTATTTATTTATTTTTGGCTGCATTGGTCTTTGTTGCGTGCATGGCTTTCTCTAGCTGCGGTGAGCGGGGTGTACTCTGCTTCGTTGCGGTGTGCAGGCTTCTCATTGCAGTGACTTCTTTTGTTGCGAAGCACGGGCTCTAGCCACGCGGTCTTCAGTAGTTGTGGCGCACGGGCTTAGTTGCTCCGTGGCATGTGGGATCTTCCCGGACCAGGGATCGAACCCATGTCCCCTGCATTGGCAGGCGGATTCTTAACCACTGCGCCACCAGGGAAGTCCCTATACATTTACTTTTATATATCCTTCTCTGGCTCCAACGTGCTCCTTCAATCTGGACTCTTGCCTTTGTGGAATTCTTTTTTTTAATTTATTTATTTAGGGCTGTGTTGGGTCTTTGTTGCTGCACGCAGGCTTCCTCTAGTTGCGGAGAGCAGGAGCTACTCTTTGTTGTGGTTCGCGGGCTTCTCATCGTGGTGGCTTCTCTTGTTGCGGGCACGGGCTCTAGGCGCGGGGGCTTCAGTAGTTGCGGCACGCAGGCTCAGTAGTTGCGGCATGCAGGCTCTAGAGCGCAGGCTCAGTAGTTGTGGCGCACGGGCTTAGTTGCTCCACAGCATGTGAGATCTTCCTGGACCGGGGATCGAACCCGTGTCCCCTGCATTGGCAGGCAGATTCTTAACCACTGTGCCACTAGGGAAGTCCCTGTTTGTGGAAGTCTTTATGGAAGTTTTTCAATCATCATCTCTTTAAATATTGCCTCCTGCCTGTTCTCTACATTTTCTTCTTCTGAGATTCCTAATGACTTTTAACTACTCTTTAATATTTTCTTTCATTCCTCAATGCTACCTTATGGGTGATTTCTCATATATAGCTTCCAGTTCATTAATCTTTTCTTAAATTGTGTCCAATATGCTGTTTACTTTACCCCTTGATGTTTTTTCATTCCAATGGCTATATCCTCTATTTTTAGAAGTTCCTTTGGGTTATTTTTTTAAATCTTTCTGCTCTGTTTTCGTACCATCCTGTTACTGATAAC